AGGAAAAAGTAAAACCTTCATACGTAATTTGTGGGAATATAAAATAATACAGCTACTTTGGAAAATAACTTGGCAGTTTTTTAAAATGTTAAACATAAATTTATTATATCCCTATCCATTTTACTCTTAGGCATCTACACACACACACACACAAAAAAAAAATTACCAGCCAAAAAAAAAAGCATCTACACAAGAGAAATGAAAACACATATCTACATAAAGTCTTATATGCATTATCAGAATAGCCCCAAGCTGGAAAAAATTCAAATGGTCAACTGGTAAATGGATAACAAAATGAAATATTATTCAGCTGTAAAAAAGGAATGAAATACTGATAGATGCTACAATATGAATAAACTCAAAAAACATTATGCTAGATAAAAAAAGTCAGGTGATAGAGATCATATATCATATATTCCATTTATATGAATTGTCCAGAAATGGCAAAATTATAGAAGCAGAGAGCAGAGTACTGTTTGCCTGCATCTAGAGGTAGGTACTGAGATCAGGTCACATATGGTGGGTAATAAGCATCTTTTTCAGGAAATGAACTTTCCAAAACTGAATTGTAGTGGCATTGACACAACTCTTAAATTTAGCAAAAATTATTGAGTTTTAGGATATGTATATTATACTTCAAAAGTAGTTTTTAAAAAACTGCATGGATTTGTTCAACTCTTCATGTCTTCCATATATTATTCTCTTAATCTCTGCATTTCAAAAATGATAAAACTTTAATCACTCCTGCTCTGCAACCAATTTTTTAACTTATTGTTAATTTTTAACAGATTGTGAAAGCTAATTCTCATGAATTGGATTTAGTTTATTTAATCTTTATAATCAAGATGACACTTTCAATAATGGGTTTCTTTCATTCCTCAATAACCCAGTAAGTTGACGTAATCAGGGAAACTGAATGACCTAATGACTCAAACTTCATACTACTTTTCAAAACTATAATAATTCTAAAGCCTCTAAGTCGACTGAAGAAGCAAAAATACAGTCTAAAAAGATGATTTTACATTCCCTGGTATGTACAGTGTTAAGTCATTGTTTTAATTCTGACATGATATCTGCTTCTGCATCTTGGGTTTTTAACCATTTTGTCCCCTTACACATGGACTTATTTTTCCTCCTAAAAAAGTTCCAAACAAATCTATTACCAATCTTTTTCTTCAGAGCTTAAGAATAAAGATTTTTTCTCAATTCATCTATATACACAAAACATATAGACAATGAAGATAAATAACTTAAATAACGTTTATCTGTGCTCTGTAGAGAATTTACCCTTGTAAAGAGAGAGATCATGCAGATTCATATTTCTCTGTAGTCCCAGAACATTCCCAATTAGTTATATTCCCTCCATTTATTTTCCCAAGACTCACCAGTGGCTTTTAGGAGAACCTGGCCTGGGCTGTATCTGACTCACAGGGGTCCTGATAGTAGGTCATATCCCATCACTATTCCTAATCAAACTTAAAAAAAAAAA